ATGAAGAAGAAAACAAACCAGATCACCGAGACCAAAAGCCAAAACCAAAAGGTGCTGAAAGCCAAAAAAGCCGTCCGGGGGCCATTGTTTCTAATCGCAAACAAAATCAATTTAGTAACGCGGTGATTGTCGCTCTAATTACCTCCCAAGTTGACAAAATTTATCCTTTTGAGGTCGAGATTGTTTGTGAAAGTCAGAAAAGCAAAATTCTCACCGACCAAATTTACACGGTTGATAAAAGCAGATTAGAAAGAAAAATGGGTCAATTAACTGAAAAGCAATTAATTGCTCTTGCCCCAAAGGTCTCCACATTGTTTTGAATTGGAAGATTAACGTTTAAGTAGAATTCTGCACTTTTTAGACAAAAAACAGTTAGGTCAGGTTGAGTGTATTTTCACCGCGATTTATTTTTAGTTGGTGAATGATTTTCGGGATGTTGAAACATTTTTGCTCTGAATAATTGGTTAGTTTGATTAATGTTTTTGGTCAAAATGTATAAATAAATTTTAACCTGATTTTGGCTAATAATTCAGCTAAGAAAATCAATTATTAGTTAAGAATTGAGGGATTAAAATTTACCAGTTTTTTTTTGCTAAGCAAAAAGAGCAACCACCAAAGCCGCCAGCGAGTAGAGAAACCTCTTTTTAGAGGAGTTATTTTATTTTTAATCTAATTACCGAAAAGTCGACTAAAAAATGACCCCGATCCACCAAAAGCTCGACCAAATTCTCCTCAAAGGGAATCTCTTCTTTGCTCCGCTTGCTGAATATTTGCTCGTCATTCTTGGACTTGTTGATTGCTTTGGTTCCTTAGATTAGTTTCCCGCGAACTAGCACTGGAATTAATTTGGTCTTCTAAGTCTTGCCTTTGTTTTTTAAGATTAATTTCCCTCTCTAATTGTTGCTGCTTTAACAATAATTCATCATTTTCTCTTCGCAAGTCCAATTCTCTGCGAAAAGCCGTTTCACGTTTATTTCTTGCTTGCATTATCTGATTAATCATATCTTGTTTTTGTCGTTCTTGTTCCCGAATAGCTTCTTCCATTCTGCGGGTTCTCTCCCTAGCCTGCTCGGCAAACTCTCGACTTCATTCTTCCAGCGTGTAAGTTTTAGCATTACGCAAAGTAAAGTTATAATCATTAGTGCCGCAGGTCGGGCAATAAATATGCCCAATAAAATCGGATTGGTAATTTGAAACAAACTCTCCTGACTTATTGTAAACTTGAATGTTATTATCGTGTCCGTAGCGGCAAACTGGTTCGCCAACTTGGACGTTATTAAAACTATTTCTAATTTGGCTTAAATTACTTTGACAAGCACTATTAATTTGGTTAAGAGATTGGTTATAAGCTGCTTGTGATTGGCGAAGTTGTTCCTGATTAACTTCTTCTAGTTCTTGCCGCGTGGTTTGAACTTTTTTTTCATTTTGGCTTTGTAATTCTTTGGACTTGCCTTTCGAAATTCCGACCGGTAATTCTTAAATCACGAGCTTT